TCAAAACTTACTGCAAAGCTACAGTAAGCAAGGCTGTGTTGTACAGGCACAAGGACAGACAAATAGATAAATGAAATAGAATTAAGAGTCAGAAATAAACTCATATACATTTGTGGTCATCTGAGTTTCAACCATGGTGCCAAGAGAATTAAACAAAGGCAATAGGACAATGAGATAGTGATATGCAAAAGAATTAATTTGAACCCCTACCTCATACCACATACAAAAATTAATTCAAAATGAATCAAAGTCTAAAAGTGAGAGCTAAAACTATAAAACTCTTAGAAGAAAACACAGGTGAAAATCTTCATGATCTAGAGTTCAGCCATGGTTTCTTATATATGTCTAAAGTACAAGTAACGAAAAGAAAAAAAAATAGATAAATTGAACTTCATCAATTTCTAAACACATTGGATGATACTCAATTCACCAGTTATTAGGAAAGTCCAAATCACCACCCCACTGAAACATCACTTCACACACACTAAGATGGCTCTAATCAAACAGACAAAATTCACGAGTGTTGGTGAGGATGTGGAGAAACTGGAACCTTCATGCCCAGCTGATGGGAATGTAAATCAGTGCAGCCACTTTGGAAAACAGTCTAGCAGTTCTTCAAAAAAACTAAACATAGAGTTACAATTTAGCCAAGCAATTCCATTCTGTGGTATATACCCAAGAAAAAATGAAAGCCAGTCAATAGCAGCATTATTCTTAATAGCCAAGAAATGGAAACAAACCAAATGCTCATTAGCTGATGAATGGATAAAGAAAATGAGGTATGTTTATGCAATAGAATCCTATTCAGCAATATAAAGGAATGAAATACTGACACATGCTATAACACAGATGAATCTTGAGACCCTGTAATATCAAGTGAAAGAAGCCAGGCACAGAGTTGTCCATTTTACATGAAGCATGCAGTATACATGCATCAAAAGAAACAGCAGGTACATTGTGTTAGGCCATTCTTGCATAGCTATAAAGAAATATCTGAGGCTAGACTGGGTGCAGGGGCTCATGCCTATAATCCTAGCACTTTAGGAGGCTGAGGCGGGTGGATCACTTGAGGTCAGGAGTTCAAGACCATCCTGGCCAACATGGTGAGATCCCATCTCTACTAAAAATACAAAACTTAGCTGGGCACGGTGCCATGCACCTGTAATCCCAGCTACTCAGGAAGCTGAGGCAGGAGAATCTCTTGAACCTGGGAAGCAGAGGTTGCAGTGAGCCGAGATCACACCACTACACTCCAGCCTGGGCAACAAAGTGAGACTCCATCTCAAAAAAAAAAAAGGAGAGGCCATAGCTCAGAGGTAGAGCATTGGACTGCAAATCAAGAAACACCTGAGGCTGGATAGTTTATAAAGAAAAAAGGTTTAATTGACTCACGGTTCTGCAGGCTGTACCAGCATAGCTTCAGCATCTGCTTCTTGTGAGGGCCTCAAGAAGCTTACAATCATGGTGGAAGGTGAAGGGGGAACAGGTGCATCACATGGTGAGAACAGGAGCAAGAGAGAGAGGGTGGTTCCCACACAATTTTAAACAGCGAGATCTTGCCAACTCACTCATAACCAAGGAAATAGCACTAAGCCATTCATGAGGAATCTGCCCCCATGAGACAAACACCTCCCACCAGGCCTCTCTTCCAACACTAGGGATTACATTTCAACATGAGATTTGCAGAGGACAAACATCCAAACCATATCACAGGTTCACAGTTGGCAGGAGCTGGGGGCAGAAAGGAATAGGAGGAACTGCTAAGGGTGTAGCGTTCCTTTTTAGGGGGAACGAAATGTTCTGGAATTAGTGATGATTGTTGCGCAACTCTGTGAATAAGCTAACAAATAAACATTGATCGTACACTTTTAATTGGATAATTTTATGTTACGTGAATGTCTCGACTGATGAAAATGATCCTTATTGTTCAAGCCAATTTGAGGTAGAGGTGTTGTTTCTTGCAAGGCAAAGCTCCCAATGCTTGGTGGGACACACTACCCTGCTAGCTGACTTCTTCCCCTCCCAGCTGGCAGTTGCTTTTTCTTAGAGTGTGGGTAGAGATGAGGCCCAGCTATGACTAATCAAATAGATAAAAATTTATGAGTGCTGGTGAGGATGTGGAGAAACTGGAACCTTCATGCCCTGTAGGTGGGAATGGAAAATGGTCCAGCCGCTTTGGAAAAGTCTAGCAGTTCCTCAAAAAAACTAACTGTAGAGTTACAATTTGGCCAAGCACTTCCACTCTGTGGTATATACCCAAGAAATCTGGGACATAGTGGGGACAGCTGTGTGCAGAACTAGAGTACCCCCAGCTTCTGAGAGAGGACACAGCCCCAGGCTCTTGCCCAGATTTCCTGGGTCTTGCTGTGGGTGGGGGCTGCTGCGTCTCTGGCCCTGAAGGAGCAGGGATGACAGAGGGATCACATTGGAGAGGTTCAGGAACCACCATTCCCCGCTCCCTGGGTCACTGGGCAGCCAGTAGCCAGGCTGCCTGGCATCATTTGCCCATGTGGTAAAATCAGTGGCCTCTGCTGGGCCAGAGCAACTCAGGCTGCTTCCATGAGCAGAAGGATGTGGGAAGCGACTGGAGCCTCGACCCCATATAGTCACCTCAGCCACTCCACAGCAGCATCCTGAAGACAGCCAGTTATACTGTTTGAAATTAAAGACCTGATGAGAATTGCGCGTTGAGATGTTTCTTTCGTCTTGGGGCAGTTGGCAATGTCGAGACTAAATCCCCACCGCCGTGCCTCGTGGTGGCCAGCTTTTGGGTCCCCTCATCCACAGTGGGGAGCACACCATCCAGGAGCACATGGCTTCATCGGCAGACACAGCACAGGCAGCTCCTGTCCGGGGCGGGATGCTGTTATGTGTTCAGGTGAGAATCAGGCTGAGACTCCCCGGCCATCTTTCAAGGGTGTCAGCTCTATCATCACACCATTCCTTCTCTCAAGTGGGCAGACTGGTGTCCTAGTTTACTTTCTGTTGCTTATAACAGAATATCTGAAACTAGATAACTTATAAAGAAAAGGAATTTATTTCCTACAGTTATGGAGGCTGGAAACTCCACGGTAAGGGAGCACCTGGTGAGAGCCTTCTTGCTGGTGGGGACACTGCAGCATTCTGAGGTCATGCAGGGCATCACATGGCGACAGGACCGAGCGTGCTAGCTCAGGCCTCCCTTACTCTTCTTGTAAAGCCACCAGTCCCACTCCCATAACTGTTAATCCATTAACCCACTAATCCATGAATGGGTTAATCCACTCATGAGAGCAGAACCCTCCTGACCCAACACCTCTTAAAGACTCCAGCTCTCAATACTGCCACATTGGGAATCAAAGTTTCAACATGAGGGTTTTTTTTTTAGATTTTGTTTTGTTTTGTTTTTGAGACAGTCTCACCCTCTCATCCAGGTTGGAGTACAGTGGCACAATCTCAGCTCACTGCAGATTCTACCTCCCAGGTTCAAGCGATTCTCCTACCTCAGCCTCCCAAGTAGCTGGGATTACAAGCACCCAGCAACATGCCCTGCTAATTTTTGTTTTTTGTAGAGACAAGGTTTCTCCATGTTGGCGAGGCTGGTCTTGAACTCCCGGCCTCAGGTGATCTGCCTGCCTCAACCTCCCAAAGTGCTGGGATTATAGGCATGAGCGACCATGCCCAGCCTCAACATGAGTTTTAGAGGGGACAAACACTCAAACAAAACGATTGGCTTTGAGTCAGCCAAGCTGAAGAACAGAACTTCAGGGAATGTTCCCACAAACTCTCTGTCCTCCATCTTTAATTAAAGCAATATTTTTCATGGAGAATTACCCAGGACACACACATTTCATGGACTCCTGAAAGCCATTCTCACTAGAGAGCCACAGGTCAACTGCATGGTTTGGTCTGATAAAATATCACCCACTGAATTCACACCAGGGTGATCTGCTGAGCCCACTCTGAGGGCTGTTAAGACAGATTCATGGGACTATGGTGTTTGGCATTATGCTGTTGGGTTGTGTGATTTTGTAATTCGTTTTAAAAGTATACATTTACACAAAAAGGCACAAAACAAAAATGTGCAGATCATGTAGTCAATAGCTATGTAACCACCAGCCAGGTAAAGAAGTAAGACATGAGGTCTTATTTGATGAGGTGGGAGGCTAACTCCTTGGGGCCCCTCCACCTCACCAAAGGTAACTTCATTTAAATAGGATTATAGAACATGGACTCTTTTGTGTCAGGCTTCTTTCACTCAAATTATGCTTCTGAGACCTATTCCTGGTACTGTGTATAGTCATAATCTATTAATTTTCTTTCTTTCTTTTTCTTTTTCTTTTTAAGATGGGGTTTCACCATGATGGCCAGGCTGGTCTTGAACTCCTGACCTCAGGTGATCCACCCACCTTGGCCTCCCAAAGTGCTAGGATTACAGGCATGAGCCTCAGTGCCCAGCCAATCCATTAATTTTCATAGCTTACAGTATTCCGTTGTATAAATGAACTGTGAACTTGGTCCATTTTGGTCCATTTTTTGGTTGAGACTATTATAAACAATGCTTTTAGGAATGTTCTGTATATGTATCCTGATATGCGCATTTACACATACACCTTTCTGTCTGGTATATTCCCATAAGTGTAATTTCCAGGTCATCAGGGATAGGTCAGGGGAAATACATACTTTCAATTATTTAGAAAGTAGTAGAAACAATTGTTTTACAAAATGATTGTTCCAGTTTACATTTCCGACAGCAATCCATGAGAGTTCCAGCAGCTTCACATTCTCATCAACACTTATTACTATCGATTTTCTTAATATTAGACATTCTGGTGAATAAAGGTAGTGTGTTACTTATCAAGTATTTCATAACAAATTATGCTCATAATGCAGGGGCCTAAAACAACATACACTTATTATTTCAAAGTTTCTATGAGCCAGAAAGCCCGGAGTGGCTTGTCTGGATGGTCCCGGTCTCTCACAAGGTTTCACTCAAAATGTCAGCCAGGACTGCTGTCATCTGAAGGCTCAACTGGGGCTGTAGGATTCACTTCCAAGATGGCTCACTCACATGATGTGATGGCAAGAAACCTCAGTTCCTTGCTGTATGCGCCTCTTAGCAGGTCTGCTTGACTGTCCTCATGAGGTGGCATCAACAAATGTTCTGAGAGAGAGGGGCAAGGGGAAGAGAGAGAAAGAGAAAGAGAGGCCACATTGTCTCATCACCTAGTGTTGCGAGTGATACACCATTACTTTTGCCTTATCCTGTTTATTTATTTATTTTTATTTATTTATTTTTTTTTTTGAGACGGAGTTTCACTCTTTTTACCCAGGCTGGAGTGCAATGGCGCGATCTCGGCTCACCACAACCTCCGCCTCCTGGGTTCAGGCAATTCTCCTGCCTCAGCCTCCTGAGTAGCTGGGACTACAGGCACGTGCCACCATGCCCAGCTAATTTTTTGTATTTTTAGTAGAGACGGGGTTTCACCATGTTGACCAGGATGGTCTCGATCTCTTGACCTCATGATCCACCCGCCTCGGCCTCCCAAAGTGCTGGGATTACAGGCTTGAGCCACTGCGCCTGGCCGCCTTATCCTGTTTATTAAGGTGAATCACTGAAGTCTAGCCATGCTCAAGGAAAGGGAAATTAAGTTTCACCTATTGAAATGAAGAGTACTGAAGAAGTTGTGGACATATTTTAATACTACCACAGGGATCTCACTGTGGTTTTAATTTGTACTTCTCTGACTGAGATTGAACCCTTTTTCATGTGTTTACTGGCTATTAACTCTTTCACAAATTACCTATTCAGGTATCTTTCACAATTTTCTGTTGTTTTTTGTTTTTGGGATTTTTTTTAGTTTTTCTCATTGATTTATAAGAGTTTTTTCTACAGTCTAGATATGAGTCTCTTGTCAATTATATATGCTGCAAATACATTCTCCCACTCCTAGATTGCTTTTGTATACTCTTAATGGTTTCTTTGACAAACAAACTTTCTTAATTTTAGCATAGCCTAAATTATTAGTCTTTTTCTTTATGGATTATGTTTTTTATATCTTGCTTAAGAAGTCTCTCCTTACTCCAAAGTCATAAAAATATTTTCCTATTCGGATGACTTTCTAATGTGTGACCTTGCCTAGGCTGGACTATATTTCCCTGGAATGCCCTTTCTAGCCTGCTTTCAGTTAGTGAGGGTACAGGGCTAGGCTGGGCAACAAGAGGTATTCTCTACTGAGAGCAGGAGGACACAGGGAAGCAGTGCCCTTTCAGGCATGCACACGCTTTCTCTAGTTACTCATTCGAGCCCTGGCCTTCATGCTGCTGCAAAGAGATTTTGCAATGTGATTAGAGTCCCAAGTCAGTTGACATTAAGATAATCAAAAGGGAGATCACTGCTCACAGTCAGTTACAGATCGAACTTCTTGTTCCACTCATCCCCTACTTCTCACTACTGCACTTAAGTCATCTAAAATAAAAGTGGGAAGAGATTATCCTGGATGGGCCTGACTCAGTTAATTGAAAGGCCTTGTTAAAAGGACTTAGGCATTCCCTGAGCCACACTCCAAACAGCCCCTGACAGCCTGCCCATCAGACTTCAGATGTCCTTAGCCTGCCCTGACAATTGTATGAACCAATTCTACACACACACACACACACACACACACACACACACACACACACAGATTATTGACTGGCTCTGCTTCTCTGGTTGAGCCCCCACTGATACTCCTATATTATCTTTTGAAGCTATATTGTTTTGCCTTTCTCATTTAAATCTGAATCCACCTGGAGTTGCATTTTTGTGGATGGTGTGAGGTAGGGGTCAAGGACTTTGTTTTGTTTTCTTCTGTTTAGGTACTCAATAACCCCAGCATCATTTCTTAAAAACCCCTTCCTTTCCTACTGCTTGACCAGCTTTGTCATAAATCAAGAGTGTGGTATTCACAGGTCAGAGTGTTTTGAGCTGATCTGCTTTGGCCACCAAGAAATTAGTTTTCAAATTTGCTCCAAATTTCAAGAATTGTATCGGACTTTATGACGTGATTTCTGAACACCAGTTTACCGCTGGCCTTACCCAGTGGCCCAGCGCATGTTTTCCCGCTACTCTGTTTGGCACACAGAGTGGCTATTCATGAAATCTTGGTGTTCTCCCCTTCCTCTGCTTTGGAAAACAGAGAAAGCCATAGAATTGAGCTATAGGAGGGCTGCTAAGGAAGACAGGAGGTAGTGAAGTGGTCCCCAGAAGCCCTGGTGACCTTTTTTTTTTTTTTTTTTTTTTTGAGATGGGGTTTTGCTCTTGTCTCCCAGGCTGGAGTGCAATGGCACAGGCTCAGCTCACTGCAACTTCCACTTCCTGGGTTCAAGCGATTCTCCTGCCTCAGCCTTCCGAGTAGCTGGGATCACAGGTTCCCACCACCACACTTGGCTAATTTTTGTATTTTTAGTAGACACAGGGTTTTGCCATGTTGGCCAGGCTGATCTTGAGCTCCTGACCTCAGGTGATCTGCCTGCTTCCACCTCCCAAAGTGCTAGGATTACAGGTGTGAGCCACCGCACCCGGCCCCTGGTGACTTTGCTGTAGTGGGACGAGTAGAGGGATTGATCATCAGAGCATGGTGGGTGGGGAAGCCTATCACCACATGGACTGCGCAGGCCACATGATTGTCACCTGAACTCAGTATACCACACAGACACCGGCATGGAGGAGGACAGCAGAGGGTCCCAATCCCACAGGAGCAGGGGGGTCAAGAGGGAGAGCTTTATGCAGCAACATGAATGGCACTGGAGGTTGTTGTGTTAAGTGAAATAAGCCAGGCACAGAAAGACAAACTTCACACGTTCTCACTCATTTGTGGGAGCTAAAAAATAAAACACTTGAACTCGTGGAGGTGGGTAGAAGGATGGTTACTAGAGACTGGGAAGGGCTGTGGAGGAGAAGTGAGGATGGTTAAAGGGTACAAAAATATGGTTAGAACGAGTGAATAATATCTAGTATTTGATAGCACAATACAGTGACTATAGCCAGCAGTAATTTATTGTGTATTTCAAAATAACTAAAAGAGTCTAATTGGATTATTTGCAACACAAAGAAATAAATACTTGAGGTGATGGATACCCCGTTTACCCTGATACAATTATTATGCATTGCATACCTGTATCAAAATATCTCATGTAACCCGTAAATATTTATACCTACTATGTACCCACAAAAACTTTAAAAATAGAAGGGGGCCAGGTGCAGTGGCTCATGCCTGTAATCCCAACACTTTGGGAGGTCGAGGCAGGCAGACCACTTGAGGTCAGGAGTTTGAGACCAGCCTGACCAACACGGAGAAACCCCATTTCTAGTAAAAATACAAAATTAGCCGGGCGCGGTGGCGCATGCCTGAAATCCCAGCTATTTGGGAGGCTGAGGCAGAGGAATCGCTTGAACCCAAGAGGCAGAGTTGGAGTGGGCCGAGATCGCACCACTGCACTCCAGCCTTGGTGACAGAGTAAGACTCCATCTCAAAAATAAAATAAAATAAAAAATAAAAGGAAAACAATGTAATTTGTTAAAACTATAAACATCCTGTAACAACACTCCTTCAGCATAACTGCAACCGTCGCTCTTGCAACAGTGGGTGAAAAATGCGCCCCTGACCTAAGCTGCTGTCAGCTCCCATTTTGCCCGTGTCCAGCTGGGCCTCACCTGCACAAACATGGGGTCTTTTGCCCAGTGTCATCTGAGCTGCTGTACAGCAGCAAGCCTGGTTCTTTCCCTGAATCTTTCCAACCAACAGCAGCCCCCTGGGACCTGGGCACAGAGCTGAGCACGCAGTGGGTGCTGCCCCAAAAGCTTTGAACAACTGGATGCATTAAGGGTTAGATACATGTGACTCCCCCACACCATGCACCATGCCCCCCAAATTCCTAAGGAACCTCCTTGTATCCTGGCCTAGAGTGGGCCCACTGTCACACCATCGAGTGAAAAAAGCGGCATGAAGCAAGCCTGTGACACGTGTCATCTTTTCTACAAAATTGGAGGGAAAGGGGAATTTATGCACATATTTGCTTGAATATGCAGAAAATATCTCTAAAAGGACCTGCAAAAATCGTGGGATATTGGCCGCAGCCGGAAGAAGGCCGGGGGGAGAGGCAGGGCAAACCCTTTCCTGGGAGCTGCCGGCACCTTTTAGCTTTCGAGCCATGTGAACAGCCTGGCTGTTCACAAAACCAAAACAATTATTTTTAGAAAAAAAGAAAAGAAAGAACAAGGCGTAGATGGCCTGAAGGCGCACATCTCCCCAGCTGGGCCAAGACCAGGACGGGGGCATGAAGAGAGGGCTGTGCCCATCCTGGGCAGGAGGCCAGCCCCGCCTCCCAGCCCCTGCCTTCCTGAGGCCCCTCTGGCAGGAGCCCTCACAGGAGGTCTGCAGGAGCCAGGCCCGCCTCACTGTTCAGCTTCCCTGGGATCTCTCCTCCCCCTTGGTGGCTGGCAGAAGAGGCTCTTTTTCTTGGCAAGCCACCGTCTGTGAAAAATGCGGTGGCCGTCAGGCTGCATCTGCAGACAACAGCTTGGACATGGATCTAATTAGGAAAAACCTCTTTACCTCTGCACTGTAAATCCTCACTCCCTGCGTCAGCCAAGCCAGGCAACGAGGAGCAGAGAAAGGAAGGCTCCAGGGAAGAGCACGTCCGGCTTCCTGGCAAATATCTGTGGCTGGGGTGGTGGCTGGGAGTGCGGATGTGTGCTCAGAAAAAACAGCCCTGTGACGCAGATCAGACCTAGGGGAACTGTGGGCATGCACGTGAATTAACGTGTACAGGAGGGTCGGGGGTGATCGGGCATGTGTGTGCGCATTTGGGTACATGTGCATATGTGGAACAGGCCCCGGTGCGTAGGGGAGACGCCTGGCTGTGCAGTAGGCCTGCCTCTGGGGCTCCATGCCTCAGGGGATTGGGAGCAGTCACATAATTCTGCTGATTCCAACCCCTGCTTGGCCAACCCCGCTTTGTCACATGTTAGCCAGGTCTCTAGAAGATTCTGTTAGTCCTTTAACTTCAGTCACTTTACGTGTAACACAGGGTTACGGCGAGGAGACACTGAAAATACCAAGCTGGCTGGAGGCTTCCCAGGAGGCAGCAGCTCAATGGTGGGTCAGTGCCAGGGAGTGAGCCACGGCGACTGGAGTCCGTGCCTTCTTTTCTGGCTTCGACGCTGGCCTCACTGATGGTCCTGAAAGTACATGACTTTCCCCACCGTCTGACCATAGGCAGCGCTTGTGGCCCAGCGTCCCACACAGGGCCTGGCTTGGGGCAGGCAGAGAGGCCCAGGGTGAGAGGTGATAGCCCAGCTGAGGTGCCATGGTGGCTGCCTGTGGGTGCCCAGCCCACAGGAGGCCCCATTGTGCTGCAGCAACAACCAGGCCTGCCCTCCTCACCCACCAGGCCTGCCCTCCTCACCCACCAGGCCTGCCCTGCTCACCCACCAGGCCTGCCCTCCTCACCCACCAGG